AAACTCCCCATGTGTTGTTTGGAAATCAACATAATCTATTCTGGTGTCATGAGTGAAACATGACAAGGGAATGATGGAAATGTTTCCCTTCCTCGTATCACATTTCAGCTGTTCTAAGATACAAAACAGTTCTAATGGCTATCTGGTTATCTAGGCTAGGTCTATGATCATCTGGGACAAGCTAATGATTGTCACTGGGTCTAAGAATTCATAAGTTGCTTTTCCTCCCACCATAGGAAGGCATGTTAAAGTCCCCCATAACAAAATATCAATGAAAATCCAACATCAATCATATCATGAGATAGAGCTGTGCAGCGAGGAAGTTGAAACCCCTACTTTGTCCTCAATGCAACCTCGCAAATAGTGCCTTACATCCAGATATCTATGGAACAGTGCCTCTGGTGACCTGGAAAATCTTCCAGATAATCTTCACTCTATCTTCTCTGCCTTGGGTCTTGGTTGATGCAAAATCTGGAAGTGAAATGGGTAGACTTCCGAGAGAAACCCTCCCACTTACCCACTGAGTCTCAGCAATACATGGCAAGCTTGCCCCCTCATCCTTAATGAAATCATGGAAAAGAATACATCTAGAGTGGCAGATCTGGCATTTAACAGCATCAATCACAACCCAATTGTAATCTGTAGATCCACTAGCTGGCTGGCTCCAAAGATGAGGTTCAGGGGCTACAAAAAGGCCTAAGATTTTCATTCTCTAAGGGTGGCCTATTTCATATCCTGCCATAATAAATCACTTGATATACCATGGCAACTAATTTCACAATTTAAAGAAGGCAAGGAAGCATATACTTGACAGCCAAGAGCAGACTGTCAAAACACTGAATATCTCAGCAGTGTTTACTGAACCTATTGATCATCATTTATTCAATTAACCCCAATCTCTTTATACAACTTATTGTAATAAAACTGAGACCAAGTACCCATTCACAGTTTAGCATATTGTGTGAATGTATTCACCTATAGACATATAGGGAGTCTTATATATTGGTCTCTGTATCCCCTCTCCTCAAAATAAATGAAACAAAGAGCAAAATACTTGCACCTTGAACCAAAACGTAAACATATTTTAATGAGAGTGAAGGTTTGGTCTCTGAGCTTGTAGATTAGTTTCCGAACATTTCATTACCAGGCTAGGTAACATCATGATCAGAAAAAAACTATCCTGTAATCTGCAACTCTTACACTGCAAAAACATATGGACTACACAACTCGATCAGGGCAAAACAACAGACGCGAACTACATAGACTTCTGTAAAGCCTTTGATTCAGTGGTACACGACAAACTACTCCTAAAACTAAAATCTTATGGTATCTCTGGACACCTGCATAACTGGATAGCTGCATTCCTGTCAAACAGACAACAAATGGTCAAAATTGGGAGCGTCCTATCAAATTCTGTACCTGTCAACAGTGGTGTCCCCCAAGGCAGTGTTCTAGGACCAACTCTTTTCATACTCTACATAAATGACCTCTGTGATCGTATCAAGAGCAATTGCGTTCTCTTCGCTGATGATGTAAAGCTGTTCAATACCACAGACAATACTGCTACCCTTCAAAAAGACCTTGACTGTGTATCAGAATGGTCAAACAAATGGCAACTTCAAATCTCAACAAATAAATGCTCTGTCTTACATATTGGCAAAAAAAATCAGAAAATAAAATACAGGCTGAATAGTCAAGACCTTGTTGATGATCCAAACTCTGTCAAGGATCTTGGAGTACTCATCTCTAATGATCTAAGTGCTAGAGCCCACTGTAACTACATAGCCAAAAAGGCATTAAGAGTTGCTAATCTAATCCTACCTAGCTTTTTCTCTGGTAATATCACACTACTAACTAGAGCATACAAAACATTTGCTAGACCAATACTCGAATACAGCTCATCAGTCTGAAACCCATATCATGTATCTGATATTAGCACAGTTGAGAAAGTCCAGAAATATTTCACAAGAAGTATTTCTACTCCTCTACTCGTTGCAGAATACCTTATGCCACCAGACTTGAAATTCTAGACCCAGAAAACCTTGAATTACGCTGTCTTTGGCCTGATCTAAGTATGGTATATAATCATACATTGCAATGACTTACCTGTCAGTGAATACTTCAGCTTCAACCATAACAACACAAGAACACACAATAGATACAAACTCAAGGTTAACCTCACCAAACTTGATTGTAGGAAATACAACTTCAGCAACAGAGTGGTCAATGTCTGGAATACTCTATCTGACTCTGTGATTTCTTCCCCAAACCCCAAAAACTTTAACCTTAAACTGTCTACTATTGACCTCACCCCTTTCCTAAGAGGTCTGTAGGGGGTGTGCATAAGCGCACCAACATGTCTACCGTCCCTGTCCTATTGTTTATTTTTCTTATATGTACCCATTTCATGTATTCAGAACCATCTATATACTTATACCTATTATCTTGTTTGTAAGCGATTGACAAATCAAATAAATAAATAAATAAGCAAGCAAGCAAGCAAACAAACAAATAAATCTTCAGCTGAGTTCAGTGGAATTTTATAAGTTTGGAGTGTCCAAACTAGCAAGCCAGCCAATCATCTTTAAGAACATTAAGGTGCCCTCCGAGATGGAGAAGCAAGGCTCCTGTTTCCATCATATTTGACCACTGATTGTATTGACTACTGAAGATTGGAACTGAACATGCAGCAAACAGATTCTCTAGTCCCATAACCTACCATCACTTACCCAAACTTTCATTCATTCTCAAATCTCTCTCAGGACTTGAGAAATGAACCCTTTGGCCACTGGCTTTCACAAATCCCTTTTAAAAACGCTTGGCAAAACTCGCGTTCCACTATAGATAGACTCAGTGGCTGGAACTAAGCATCACACTTGTCCACAGTCACTTTTACCACAGATAATTTAATTAACCCAATTTGTCAGTTCCCACGATCCACTATAGCATAAGCTAGCCATAGTACACATCAAACACTAAAGTGTGGCTGGCTCGTCTGTGGTGCGGTGTAAGAGGAGCTAAAGATCTAGCACCAGCAGCTATCGGCCAGAAAAGCGGGAGCAACCTTTATCCAATCCCTTTAAAAATGATTAGTACGGAATTCTGGAACCTTTGCGTTTCAGACCTTTAACCCCGCCCCCGGGAGACATGGGCAAACAAATAAGACCAGCAATCCAGGCCCCAGTCCAGCCCCGCCCAGCCCCATCGGGCACCCACCGCTCAGAATCGCGGCCATCGAAGAAAACGAAATCGCCGCTGCGGACGCACTTGGCGCAGGTCAGGCGGCGGCGGGTGCTGTTGCAAAGGGGGCAACGCTCCACAGCTACATAGAGGCCCTCGGCCCCGGCTTCCGCTTCCGAAGGGTAAGCTCCTTCGGCGGCGGCCACAATGCCGGGTCGCCGCCAGCTCGGGCCGGCCCTACCGTCGCCCCTGGAAGACGCCATATTGCTGACGGGCTAGCGGCAGGCCGGCGGTCACGTGGGACTTTGTTTTCAAACAGAGGCATGATGGGGGAAAAAACGGAGGCGGGGAAGAGCAGCACGTGCTGAAGGTCGGGGGCGGAGCTAAGCAAAACCACAGAGGATGCGGCGGGCTGGAAGCGAGATCGGCAGCGCGGTTTTGCCTCAGTTGGAGCCTTAAAGTTATTCGGCCAAGTCGAACGAGAACAGCGCGAGCAGTTGGGCAGAAAGTTCGATTAAAAAGGGCAGGAAAAAAAAAAGATTGCGTTCCCTTGACGTATAAAACCACCGACCTATCAAGTTAATTTTAGTTTCGTCGTGTTCTGCGAGCTCAACTTGTGTGGTCGGTTTTGAATTCAGTACACCGTGAACATCCTCAAAATTGTTTTTCAAACCACGAATGAACAAGTTTTGCTTTTTTAAAAAAAAAAAGGCCGAAGGAACATGCAGAGGTTTTTTTATACTTTTGTAAGAGTTTTTGCTCATGATACAAGCGTGAGGGAAGCATTTAGTTTTTACATACAGGACTTATATGGGTGGCCTGTGCTTTGCTACCGGTATTTCTTCCTTGCCTCCAAGGTCCACTTTCTATAATACGGCTAAAAATCTGCTTTGTAAAAACATTCCAGGCAATCCAGATTTACAGATTAACAGAGTTGGAAGGGACCTTGCTGGTCATCTAGCCCAACCCACCCCTGCCCAAGTAGGAGAGCCTACTTTTAATTATAACCCTTTAGATTAGGTACAGCTATCTTCAAAGACTTGTGGACTTCAACTCCCAGAGTTCCTCCTCCATTCATGTTAGCTCAGGAATTCTGGGAGTTGAAGTCCACACGTCTTAAACTTGCCAAGTTTGAAGACCCTTGGATTAGAATATAATTTAGATTATATCTGTAATTTAGATACAACCTACTTTAAATATAACTCTTTAGATTAGAAGATGGTAAAGTTACCTTTATCTGTCTAATCAGTTGTATGGTTCCAGGTCTCCCCCTCCCCCCCCCCCCCCCCCCCTCAAATCTATTAGCTCAAATTCAAATGTTAAAACATTAAATCAAAAGTCAGTAGAACTCAGTGAAATTGCAACCAAGATGACATGGCCAATATATAATTATAACTATTATTAAATAGCCCAAGTTACAAATGGTAAGCGATGATCTCTAATATTTATTGAAATCAAAACCAAATAAAACACTAGGCAGTTTACAATCAATTGCTTAGGTAAATTACATATTTATTTAGCATTAAATAAATCATTGTATATTTTATTTTTATGCAAATTACTTACATGGAGGTCACACAACTATTTTAAATGATCTTCAATATGCTACTAAAATCTAAAACTTACATAACTTTTTTTATTAATTTTATGTACTTGAATAGTAATATTCAAATGTTTTCTGGACTATATTTACAAATATCTGATAAATTAAATGAGAAAAGGAAAGAAGGTATGTCATTCAATTACTATGTATAGGTTTGACATATTAGAACATATAGAATATATACATGTTTTTAATTTATAATTTTTCAAAAAATAACTTAAGCGGGTTTCTTGAAACCTTTTAAAATTGGATATATGTTTTCAAATGCTTCATATATTTCAGAACGGTCTTTGGCACCTAAAAAATAATTTTAGAATTAGTTTTAACTACATGTAATTTCATCCTACTACAAAAATATGTTCATAACCTGCAGTTCTGTACCACTAACTTGGGGAATCATGGAATTCATTTGGATTTCTGTATAAAATATATAGCTCTGCATGATGAGATAAATTAAAATGCTTTTAATTTAATAGAATTAAAAGTGTTCCTAATAATAGGAGGGTGCTTTCCTGAATTTAAGATTATTATTCTGTATCCTGCATTCTGGGACTTCCATGACTTATTTATTATCATTTTATTTATTTTATTAAATTTAGAGGGTGCCTGATTCCAGATCACACTGGATGGCATACATGATAAATTAAAAGACAAAAACAGAAAGAAAATCATGAAAAATCCTGAACTTCCAGATAGACAAATACAATGTCCCCCAAAATGTGGGAAAGGCTCAGTAGCCATCCTATCCTTCCAGGCCTGGGAGCAATTCCAGAGAGCAGCCAGGTCAAAATAGAAACCTGCATCCCAGTAGATAACATTGTTTTTGAACTGAAAGGACCTAGAGTGTACCCACTCGGCTCAATCTTACTGGAAGGTAGACTTTATTGCAGATAAGTAGATCCTCAGATGCTTAAATTGAATTGTTCTTTGACATGATGGAAATTGAAACTCTCTCTTCTGATGCCTTCTCTCAAACTAAACATGGAGTTTCTACAATCTCCCCTTGTAAGGCAAGAGTTGCTCTCCTGTGCACCTATCCCAGAGCAATGTCCAGAACTGTTGAGGCACTCAGTGTGTATTGACTAATGGTGAATGGAGTAGATTACATCCCTTAATCTAGAAATTATATTTTTACTGATGCAACATATAATTACACATTTTAAAGTCAGCAGACACATCATACAGTACTACTGACTCATGTTCAGCTTGTGGTCAACTACAAGTAGAAGTTCCTTTTTACACATGCTCTAATCTAAGTAACCTTGTTATCTACCATTATTTTTTTCCAATGTGAAGAATTTTATGTTCATCTCTATTTCATTGTGAATTTGTTATGAAGTAGGAAACACATCTATCATAGTTTTTTTAGAACTCTCACTGGCCTTTGAAATCAACTATGGTATGCTTTCTCCATGGTTGGGGATTGGGGGCACTGTGTTACAATGTTTCTTGGGGAACAGTTCCAGTTGGGGGGATAGGAAAGATCAGCCCAATGGCTATTCCTCTGTGTGGTGTGGGAGGTGCCCCAAGGGTCAGTCCTCTGTCCTTCCTATTTAACAATCATATGAAGCCATTGGAACAAACTTTGGAAGTTTATATTAATATAGTGATAATGGCCAACTTTACATTGTTACCCCATGTTAGCCTGGTAAAGTCTGAATGGGAGAAGATGGGCTTAACTGAAGCCTAGTAAGATGGAGTTACTATTTTCCATCAGGATTTTTTGTCTGCTTCAGAGATGTCTCTTCATGAGATGCCACTACCCTGAAAGAGGTAATGTGACTTGGGGTTCTAGACTCAGTTCTGCTAGAACAGCAGGTGGAGGCTGTGGCCAGGATGGACTTTGTCAACTTTGATTGGTGAACCCGTTGCCAACATAATGGAGTGGGAGGATCTTTTTTCAATAACTTATACCCTCATCACCACCTTCTTAGATTACTGCAATGTGCTCAACGTGAGCTACCTTTGAAAGTCACTTTTGAGCAGCAGTTGATTCAGAACACAGCTATTGTTGTGCATGTTTGTCAATAGCAGGACTTACATACCATGTCGTAGTGCTTTATACTCTCTCTAAGCAGTTTACAGAGTCAGCATATTGCCCCCAACACTCTGGATCCTTGGAAGGATGGAAGGCTGAGTCAACCTTGAACTGTCAGGATCGAACTTCTGGCATTATGCAGTTAGCCTGCAATACTGCATTCTAACCACTGCATCACCACGGCTCCTCAATAGGAACACATTGCACCAACAACTTGTACTTGTTGCCAACAAGTCTTAAAGGGGTTATTTAAAGTGCTGTAACTAACTTATGAAATCCTACATGACTTGGTGCCTTCTCCTGTGTAGGACTGCATTCTCCCATTGAATTGGCCTAGCCAGTTCAACTACAGTATCTAACAACTGAAAGTGAACATAGTTTAAAGTTGTTGAGGTTGAGAAACACCAGTCTAAAAGAATAGCTTCATCTAGCTCCAACAGTCTCCTTGAACCGTGAGTTTGGCAGCACATAAATTTTGATAATAATAACAGTAATGTTAGATAGACAGATATGCCTACAATGTTTGTGTATGTGTCAGTGATGCAGAAATAGACTGCTTTTATACAACTTAATTACTTACCAGTTAAAACAACTTTTCCAGACACAAAAATAAGCAGTACAATTCTTGGTTTGACCATTCTGTAGATAAGCCCAGGAAACAGCTCTGGTTCATAACTACAATTTTCAGAAAAAAATTAAAATAGACAAAATTTACTATCTATGAACCAACAAGGTATCTTTCAGAGAGTTCTTTTTTTAAACATAGCTTTGAAATTTCCAGTGCCTAAAAAATACAGTCTGTTCTTCCCTGCTACTAGCTCCTTTTTGTTAACCTTTATTCTGTCACACTCCCTTTATCAATGACATTCTAATTCCTTAGTTTGCTCTTTAACAAGCAAAAATTACATGTAAAAATGTTTGTGCTTCAATTTTTATAGTTCTAATCAGGTATCAGTTTGCATAATTAGAAAAGGAGGGTTGCATTTTTTAAATTAAATCAACTGGATATCTCTTTTCAAAAACACGTTTAAAAAAACACCAATACCGACAAGGTCTAGCTTGTGCATTGAGTACCAAACAAATGATGAGTACCAGGACAAACTTTATGTCAAAATGCATTGAATACCAGTTTCAAAAGAGCTGAGCACTAATGTATCACTGCATTTTCCCCTGAATACAGTCTTTCTGTATGGAAAATTTCTTATATACCCTTGGGTTCATGTTTTGTACACAGCTTACTTTGGTCATGCTGGCTCACGTTTTTTAGTGCCATCCATATTTTTAGCTCTATCAAATTTTTAATATGCTTTGAAAACTGGTAACTGCGCACTATAAAGCAAAGTAGCAACCCTCAGATATAATTTATATTTCAAGTAATATATCTGAGCCCCATACATACTTCCAAACTAAGAAAATAAAATGGAAGATGAGATGTTGTAATGCATGAAGAATGTAAATGCAGCTCCTGTGCGTGACTCATTAAAGCAATCGCATCTGTTTCCAGTACTGCAGATACCACCTTAGAAAAAGGATATGGCTGCTTTAATCAGTTGCAGAGGTTGCATTTGCACTTCTTAATGTTTTGAAGCACCTTTTCCATTACAGTCTGAAGCATTACACAACCCTAGTAACAATATAAAGTCTTTGTTCTAAGGTGGTATCTGCAGTCCTGGAAACAGATGCAACTGTTTTGATGAGTCACGCACAGGAGCTGAATGCATTCTTATGTTCACCTTCTCATTAAAAAGTTAAAACATGTTACAATATGTTCAAATAATAATAATAATATATTAAAATAACAATATTAAAAATGTTACAATATGTTCACCTTCCCATTAAAAAGAGAAAGATAAAAGGTTGTTAAAATGTCTTGAAAAGATAGAAGGATGGTCAGGAATATCCAAACTAGTTGCCTTCTGGTAATAGCTGTTTTGAAGTTGCAAATTAGGAATGGCCAGCCTTTTTCTAGAATGTTCATAGCTCACCCCAATTACCACAAATGCCTCTTGCTCAAAATGAGCAACACCTATCCAATATTTTACCCTGAGAACTCAAACTGAATAGAAAAGTGGGATATAAATCAAAACAAGTGTCCCAAGTAAGTAATACTAGTTGGTGAAATCCTATCTGATTTTATATGATTCTCTTGGAACAAACCTAAATGAGATGCAGAGAAAAACAAAATATAATGATTTCAAAATATTTCATAAAAACCCCATCAGACTCAGCCAACATAAGCATTTACACTTAGATTGGTAAGAAAACCCAGAGTTTTTCTGGTATCAAGTTCTGATTGTTGTAATAATCAGCAAACAGCACAAACCTGAGAGATCTTTCAGATCCTGAAAAAAATAATTGAATCATGAGTTTCCAAACTGATCATTAAGGGGGCAACGGGGCAACAGTTTTGCATGGATAAATATAACTGCTTTCTCTTAGAAGACAGCTAGTTGATGCCATGAGCTCTTTCATGATATGCACCACAGAACAGCAAAAAATTCAAATGCCAGTATTTAGATCTGAAGCAAAAGGGCACAGGTTCCAGAATTCAACAGCCTCCCAAAACCATTCAGCCAACCTATCTGAACAATCAGTAGAAATACTATTTTGATATTCATCTGCCTTTCCCAACTTTAGGTCCCAAGCTACAGTTCCCACCATCTCAACTGCCAGTGAGTGGCCATTTATGATGGAAGCCAAAGTCTTCCGGGTGCCTTTTCCCCTTGCACACACACATGGGGAGAGACATACCTGCTGAATTGTTGATGAGTTAGAACCAATCCTTCTAAGCGTATGGGAAATTTCACATCACAACTTCCCACCATGTTCTGTATTTTGAAATCCAGGAATTTTGCAGGAAATCCGAGCTTCTGTACCACGCGAGCATACTTTCTAGCTGCCAGTCGCGACTGCTCTTCGCTGCAAATTTACAACAAGCATTAGAAAACAAAGCCAGCCAGCAGAGCTTTAAGACAAGAGCGAGTAATTTCAATTCTCTTAGTCACCTGTATTCTCCCAACCTGTTATTTTGGCTTCTGAAGGTTTCTCCTACCTCACAATTGCTAGTAATATCTATCAGAGTTTCCTGTTACTGAACCAAAAATAAAATAAAATTGGAGTGCTATCAGGCACCAGGAACCAGAACTACTCAAATAACCTCAGCCAGGGACTTTATTATTTATTGCCTATGTTACAAAAATCTCACCAGATTGCTTATCTTCTCATGGGAATGACCAGATAAGGCCTCATGGACTTTGGGGGAGATCAAGTTTATGCCATTTTCCATTGCACATGACTCCAAGCTATTTTCTTGAAACCAATTGCAGTTGTTAAATGGGCACCACCAGTATAGATCCTTTCATACTCAGCCAACCATGTCACTGTCCATGCTAGCTAGTGATCTGTGGGAACTGTAGTTCAACACACCTGGTAAGTACCAGCTTTGGGAAGATTAATTAACTTTGGTAGTATATCATGGTATGCTGGAATATTACAAAAACAATTCTATTTTTTCTAAATGTGGAATTTCCAAGGGCTGTATAGTTGACAATACATTAATTGGTCTTGTTGCACTAAATAAATGAAACAATTACCAATGCAATAAATCTACATGTACTTACTGCCTTAAAAAACATTTCAAAGACATTGGCTGTTTCTTAGGATGATTAGAGTGTTCTCCATTGAGTTGCACCAAGCATCCAGAGAGTGGGAGGTGCTTAATCTCTGCTTGGATAGGCTTAATTGAATAGGACGCTGTTACTCCTCCCGGGCTCCTCCCTAGCATCCCCCAGTTTTAGCTCAGCCTTTGGTGTGATAGGAAGCTTATCCTTGGCCGGAGCAGGAACACTTCAGGTTTGATTAGCTAGTCAGTATTCTAAATTCTTTGACCATCTTTCTCAATTCCGACAGCAATTTGGTAAAAAGAAAAAAGAGAGTGAGTCAGAACGAAGCAGATCATTTTGGTGATCGGGCCACATTGGCACCCATAGCGATCGTAATTTGCTTCATCTTTCAGCAGCCACCCTTTCCCCAGAGATCGCGGTTGCCACTCTTTGAATATTTTCTGTCTTGCCATTGCGATTCGAAATTTGAGCTTCTTTTAAGATAGCGCGCTCATTTGGTTCCTACTTGCCTTCTCCAGTGGCGTTTCCTCCCCTAGGATACACAGGGGCGGGGGTGGGGGAGCCCTTCTGGTCCCCTCTTCATCGCTCAGTTGCACAGTATCTGTTTTCTTGTGCCCTTTTGAATGACTATTCATTACACCTATGTAACCTATTACAAAGGTTATAGTGGTGTGGGCGCCAAAACAAAAATCCAACTGGCGCAATTTTAAAGTTGGGTAATGGTCTTTTTTGATGTGCAATTTACAGGACTTCACCATTTTGTCCACATTGCATCATGTGGCCATATTCCTGAATTTCACATTTCCTGTGAGAGGCTTTAATTTCCTCAAAGCTTAACGCAGCTTAACGCAGCTTTCCTCAAATGGGTTCCTCTAGCCGATTTGTCTGAACTACTGGGAAAAATGATCTCCTGTATTTTTATTGTTCCTTGGGCTCGATTTCACACTAGATCACTCCAATGATATCTGATTGGGACTAAGCAATTCCAGGACCAGAGTATTAGTTCCTACAAAAGTCTGGCTATCTCTACAGTGGTGGACGGTTCCAGCCATCAACGAGGGTTGCCCACTGGAAGAGCCCCAAAGACTCACACCATAACCATGGATGCCAGCCTGTTCAGATGAGGAGCTCATTTCCAGTCCCTCTTGCTCAAGGGCGTTGGTCAACTGCAGAGCAATCGAACAGCATAAATTGGTTGGAGCTCAGAGCAGTCCACCTGGCCCTTTGCAGTTTCCTCCCACATATTCAAAGGAGACACATACTAATACTGACAGACAACGTCACAACAAAAGCACATATTAACAGATGGGGGGGATCCACTCGAAACATCTCATGTGGGAAGCAGAGAGACTGTGCCTATGGGCAGAAAGGAACTTAGCCTCTATCAGAGCAGAGCATATTTCCGGCCTGACAACCACACAGGCAGACTGGCTAAGCAGGGCCACGATCGACCAATCAGAGTGGCATCTGCATCCGGACCTGTTTCAAGAGGCAGTCCAGAGATTAGATCTGTTTGTTTCTCCCCTGAACTCTCAACTCCCGAGATTCTTTTCAAGATACCCATCCCAGGGAGCGGAGAACATCAACGCCCTCCTTTGCCAGTGGGCCTATATGCCTCTCCCCTCTCCCATTGATATCCAAGGTGGTACAAAAACTACTGGATGAGAAAGCGGACCTGATCTTGGTGGCACCCTACTGGCCCAGGAGGCCATGGTTTATGGATCTCAGGGGCCTGTCCACAAAAGAACCATGGAAAATTCCACCGCACAAAATTCAGCTCACCCAGGGACCTATCCAGCACCTGGACCCTCAATGTCTCCACCTAGCCATTTGGAGGTTGAGTGGTGACATCTAAGAAAGAAGAATTTTTCGGCCAGGGTGATTAATACCATTCAAACAGCTCAGAGCCCTTCTACGAGCCATATATATAATGCCACATGGACTATCTTCTTCAAATGTTGCACCAAATCCAAGGTGGACCATCAGTTGCACAAGTTTTAGAGTTTCTCCAGGATGGTCTCGACAGGGGTCTCTCTCCAAATACTTTAAGACAACAAGTGGTAGCTATTGCCTCAGTGGTAACTTGGGAAGGTCTACCATCCATCTCCAACCACCCAAGGATAAAGAGTTTTCTTAGGGGCACCACAAATTTATGTCCGCCAGTGGTGCATCATTACCCGACTTGGGACCTTAACAAGGTCCTCACAGCACTCACGAAGAGTCCATTTGAACCCCTGAAAACTGCTAGCCTCCATTTTCCCACATACAATGTAGTTTTCCTCGTGGCTATAACATCAGCATGATGTATATCAGAAATCACAACTCTATCGGCCCGAAAGCACCTCTGTATATTCCATACTGACAGAGTGGTGCTTCGAGCAGACCCCACGTTCACTCCTAAAGTCAATTCTGCCTTCCACGGGTCACAAGAACTAGTTCTCTGTAACTTTTGCCCCAGACCTTCTCAGGGCCTAGAGCATCAATGGCATCGACTGGATGTCTGCAGAGCTCTCCGTACTTACTTACATGGAATGGCTCCTTTCAGAATGACTGAAGCTCTTTTTGTATCTTTTCAGCCAACTTCTCAGGGGCAGAAGGTCTCCCCTTCAACTATAGGCAGGTGGCTGAAGGCCACGATAGACAAGGCAAACGAGACTCAATCACTGCCAGTGCCTAGGGGCATCACAGCCCACTCAACAAGGAGTGTGGCAACTTCAGCAGCCTGGGCCACACAATCTCCTATAGCAGAAATATGTAGAGCGGCAACATGGATCTCCCCATTGCCTTTCATTAGGCATTACAAAATTGATGTCTTTGCTTCTGCTGAATCCTCTTTTGGTAGGAGGGTGTTACAATGAGTCCACTCGGACAGTGGGGGGGCTCCAACCCAGATGGAGACCCTCCCATAGGACAAGCCAAGCTTTGGTATGTTCCACTCTCTGGATGCTCAGAGCAGCTCAATGGAGAAGGGACGCTGGTACTTACGTGGTGTGCCCTTTCTTGGTGAGCTGTGACGAGCATCCAGCCCCACTCGATATCCATCTGGTAGGGTCCTGTTTCGGCCAATGACTAATTTGGATATAAGTTTTTTAAAAAAACAACACAAACAGAACAATTAAGAGGATGGGGGTTGCATCACCCTGTCTTCGACAAAACTGGGGGACACTAGGGAGGAGCCAGGGAAGAGTAACAGTGTCCTATTCAATTAAGCCCAGCCTATCCGAGCAGAGACTAAGCACCTCCCACACTCTGGATGCTCGTCGCACTCACCGATAATGGGCGTATCAGGTAAATACCAATGCCCCTTTTCTGATGCCCAGTCTGAACTAGATGGAGTGTTAATGGTCTGAACCAATCACATTAGCTTTATATCATAACAATCCTATCTTTAGATGAGGAATCTTGTAAAGCTTAGCAGTCCTACCTTTTGGCTCCCGTGCACACCATTTTACCAGAACTAAATATAAGGGCAGTTGTTCTTGGTTCTCTAATTCTCATAATTACAGCAGCAAATCTCTAAAATTCAGAAAAATCCAAATTTAAAATCCTTTTTGTTGTATATAGACATTTGCATATTCGTAAGACTATGTTCTGATTGAACTACCACTGCCACATAGTGATTGGTGGTTAACAACTGTTGCAATTGGTCCGCCAAATGGTGGGAGGTTTAAAATGATGCCATTGGCCGCGAGCCGCGAGCAGCCGGTATAAAAGAGGCTGCCGCGGCTTGAGTTTAGTTGAAGTTACTGACAGTTAATAAAGAGCTGAATTCAACTCTGGTCTCAAGTCTGCCTTTGTTCCACAACAAAACACTGGCGATGAAGGTGGGATCGAGAGGAAAGAGACTGTAAGCATGTGGCAACGGAACTGAGCAATCAACGAGATGGCTGGCAATAACTCGCCACCCACACCGTTCAACCCAGCTGAAGAGGACTGGGAGTCATATATCGACAGGTTCCTTATGTTCCTGGAGAGTAACGAACTGCAAGAAATCACTGACCAGAGGAAGAGAGCTGTATTCCTAATGCACTGCGGCCCTACTATCTTCAAAATGGCCAAGGCATTGGCCAAACCTTATGATGTTAAGCAGATGGCATGGCCAGATTTGAACCGGATACTGAGAGCCCATTATGCGCCTGTTGTCTCCAACCTCATCCGAAGACATGATTTTTATAAACAAGATCAACGAGAAGGTGAGAGTATTGGGGATTTCGTAGCAGCCCTAAGGGACATTGGAGGAGCATGCGAATTCCTCAACATGGATGAAGCCATGAGAGACTGCGTGGTCCTCGGGTTGAAAGACACTACATTACAAAGCAAATGACTGAACCAACCCAACATCACTGTGAATGAGGCTGAAGCCACCGCAGCTGAAGCAGCAAAGAAATCAGCAGCTACAATGCGACAAATGAATACGGCTAATCGAGAAATGCAGAGCAGCCCAAGCCAAAGCCGAGAAAAGAAAGCAGAAGGTACTCAGAAACACACTACCGCAACCACCCACTATGAAGATATCGATTCCTCGCCCGACACCGAGGACGAAGACGAGGAAATACATAGGCTTCAGTGGGTATGAAACCAGCAAGAAAAAAGAGAAAGGAAGCCTGAGTTTCAGTGTGCCAGATGCGGAGGAGACCACCCGCATTCTGAGTGCCGTTTCTTGGATGCCACCTGCAGACACTGTGAAAAAAGGGGGCACATTGCAAGGGTCTGCCAAAAGAAAAAGAGCTATAGTCCTAAAAGATGAGGCAGCACCACCCCCCCAGAATTAGAGAGAGACAGGCCGGGAGTTGTTGGAGCTGAGAAAACAGAAGCAAGCGAATCAACGAAAAAGAAGAAACACACCAAACTATCATCATTGGAAATGCCAGAGCAACCGATGCAAGCAAGGTTCGCATAAACGTTAAAATAGAAGGACGACCATGTGAGATGGAGGTGGACTCCGGCTCATATCTGTCAATGGTATCATGGAACACCATAAAAAACCTGATACCAGAATACAAAGAGAAGAACTTGAAGAGCAAAGCCTGACGTTAAAAGACTACCAAGGAAACAAGATTCCGGTAGTTGGATTGGGACATTTCAAAATAAATTTCAAAAGACATACTGAGGCCCTTCCTTTGACAATTGTCGACCGAGATCGCCCCAGCCTGCTTGGGTTAGAATGGTTCGCACCCTTGGGTATCGAGGTGACAGGAATCAACAGCGTCACTGAGATGGACTGGGAAGAAAGCCTGATGAAGGAGTTCCAGGACATATTCGACGGGATGCTAGGCAAGTACTGTGGGACCCCTATATCATTTAGTCTGAACCCGAAAGTAGCCCCATCTGGCTAAAGGCCAGACACGTCCCCTTTGCCTTAAAGCCAAAAATCGATGAGCAGCTGAACAAACTCATCGCACAAGGGGTACTAGAGCCAATCGACCATGCAAGATGAGAAACCCCGATTGTGACCCCCGTGAAACCAGATGGGTCCGTGTGCATCTGTGGTGACTATAAGGCCACCCTAAACCACGCATTGCAGCAGAGTACATACCCCGTTCCAGTAGTTCAGCACCTTTTGCACTCATTGGGGGGAGGAAAAGTTTTTGCAAAGCTCGATCTCGCGCAAGCATATCAACAATTGCCAGTCGATCCCGAGACGGCAGAGGCACAGACTATTGTAACACATAGGGGGGCATTCAAATGCAACAGGCTGCAATTTGGTGTCAGCGTGTCCCCAGGCATTTTCCAGAGCCTGATGGAGCGCCTCCTACAAGGACTAGAAGGGGTGGTCCCTTATTTTGAAATTGATATTTTGATATTGATGAAATAAAAAGCAACTAAAAGACCAGTTGAGGGAAATCTTGCAAAGATTTAGAGAAGCAGGACTCAAAGTCAAAAAAGAAAATTGCCAACTTGTCACAAATCAGGTCAAGTTCCTGGGATACCTTATTGAAGAAGCAGGGATCCACCCCACCGGAAAAAAAAGAGCTATAAAAGAAGCACTAGATCCAAAAATAAAACAGACTTACAAGCATTTTTGGGACTCATTTTACAATGTCTTTTTGCCGCAGAAGGCAACAATAGCAGAACCACTGCATAGACTACTCGATAAAAAAGCCACCTGGGCCTGGGGCCAATGAGAAGAAGCCGCATTCCAGGGAGTTAATAACTCTTAATAACCTCTGAATCTGTATTAATCCAATACAGCGACACATTGCCACTGACTGTCACCTGCGACGCATCACCATTTGGTGTGGGCGCCATACTTAGCCACACACTACCCAATGGCAGAGAGGCACCGGTCACCTTTTACTCCAAAATGCTGTCAAAAGCTGAAAGAAACTACAGCCAACTGGATAGAGAAGCCTTAGCCGCCATATCGGGGGTCAAACGTTTTCACGAATACCTTTATGGTAGGACATTTTCTTTAATTACTGACCACAAACCACTGTTGGGAATCCTGGTGGGAAACAGAGCCACCCCCAACATCCTGTTGCCAAGGATGACATGGTGGTCGGAATTCCTTGCAGCCTACAACTACAAGCTCGTCCACCGACCAGGAAAAGCCATACCCCATGCCAACGCACTGAGCCGCTCACTTCTACCAGATCTGGACAATGACCCAGCTCCTACCACATCCACTCTACAAATTGAAACGTTACCAAACCTGCCTATCTCCGCAGCAGACATCACAAAGGAAACTGCAAAAGACGCACTGATGGCCCGAATCCTGAACTGGGTAGGGAGGGGCTGGCTGGAAAACGATAAGAACGAAACCTTTAAACCCTTCAAAACCCGGCAAACTGAGCTGTCAGCTGAAAAGGGATGTATACTGTGGGGGGATAGAGTTGTCGTTCCTCAAAGATTACTGAGCATGTTACATGAAGGACACCCGGGTATTGTAAAAATGAAATCCCTGGCCAGAAGCTACGTCTGGTGGCCAGGGATGGACAAAGACATTGAAACATGGGTGTCAACATGCAATAAATGCCAGAAGTCCAGACCTACCCTCCCTCCAGCACCGGTCCTCCAACTGGGAGACACCCAGAGGCCCCTGGTCGAGGATCCACATAGATTTCGCCAGACCCACAAAAGGACATACATTTTTAATCATTGTTGATGCCTACTCAAACTGGTTGGAGGTCATGAATTCCATGACAACTGAAGCCGTCACCAAACAACTAAGAAAACTTTTTGCTACACGTGGGTTACCGGACTTGTTAGTTTAGGACAATGGCCCACAGTTCACATCCTTAGCTTTTGAACAATTCCTCGCAGAACAGGGCATACGACATGCCCTAACAGCGCCAGCTCACCTGGCTTCAAATGGACGGGCGGAACGCATGGTTCGATATATGAAAGAGGCATTAGAAAAACTTGACACTTGATAACTTGACACATATAACACCGAGCACATCAACTGAACATCCAGCTGAACTTTTAATGGGCAGAAAATTGCGGACACATTTGGATAGATTTGGATAGATTGGGATGGGATTGTCAGGTGTGTGTCCTGCATTCCACAGGCGGCCTTCTATAACAGAAGAATAGCAGAGTAAATATAGATAAGAAATGAGCAAACATAGCATGGCAATTCTAAGTAGACTTTCACTGACCAGGATACTATTATGAAGCGACCTTGGAAAAGGCAAACTAAAGAGAGTGTATTTGGGCCAAGGAATTGCTTGGAACATCTTTATAGAGGTCAGATTTTGAAGAGAAGCAGCTTCAGAGGTGGAAATAAAAATCCTTAGACAAGAGAGAGAACTAGTACTTACCTTTGGATTATATTCTGCATTTCTGGCATGAAGAGCTATATTCTTTAGGTCCAATTTGCAAGCCAAATTTACAGTGGCTACTATGTTCCTGGCAGAGTAACAGGAACAAAAAAAGCCTTTAGGAACTTTACTTAAAAGAAGTGCAATAACATAAGTAAAAACAGCTTCTTTTTCATTTTTCTTCTTATTCCAGGCCCTGGAATTCTTTTTTTTAAATATTGTTTTATTGTTTCATTAAAAACACAAATAGTAGATTGTATTATTTGGGTATAGTTGTATTTATACTGTATTGTCTAGAGCAGCGGCCCCGAAATGTTTAGATACTGGGGACCAATTCTGTGGAGAGATATTTTTCCGTGGGCCAGAAGAGGCATGGTCTGTGTGCTGCCTGCATCCCATGGATGGGGCTTTGCTTGTTTGCGTAGACAGGTATCTGGCATGCCGCGGACAGGTGCCACTCCATGGACCAGGAGTTGGGGACCCCTGATCTAGAGATAATAAACTCTGACAATTTAGGGCTATCTGATTCTTACAGCATTTCCCTACTTATGTGTAACTGTGGCATAAACATGTCTGTCCTGGGAAAACCCTTTTTTCTAATGACAAAACTGGGACCAGCAACAAGGAAAGCAAATTTCTTGCTGATTTGTTTTTCTGCCAACACAAAAACTGGTACATAGCAATGGGGCTAGACTTGAGGGTGTTCTAGTATCTACAGCATACACTTTCCCATGTTGGGGTTTTCTTAGTATATTTATTGTAGTCAAGGTATAAAAAAAAACACATATACTGCTTAATATTTTCACAAAGTGTGCTGAATCTAAAGATATGATTAACAGTGTCTGGTCCCCAACAGAATTCTTGGTAATCATAACCCAAAATTTGACTCTACTGATCTGTCTTTTTGTTTTCTGATAGCTCTCTTTTAAAAAAAAAACAAAAACATTTTTAATTATAATGTTTAATTACAAGAAAAAAGAATCAAAGGATAGATAAAGAAAAAATGAAAAGAATTATGACTGGTTTTATTGAGTGGTTCCCATCTTAATCTTTCCCTCTTAGTAATTATACAGGATTCTGGATGGCTGGAGTGGGAGGTCATCTGACTGACTGAGTCATCTTGATCAGAAGGGAAGGAGTGTGGACACCTTCATTAGGTCATTATTTAGGCCAGCTGGTGAGCAAGATCTACCTTCTCCCCACCCTGCAATTACCAAGGGTATGTCAAAACAACTAAAAACATGGAAAAACAGCCTTAAAGATGAAGGATGTGCAGCTGAATCATGCTGTGAAAAAATCAAGAGGCCAAAAGATTTGATACTTGCTATCTGCTTGAAGAGGAGGGTAAGAAATAGACAATGGTGGAACAGCCCAGGATTGTTTGGATTAAAAAAAGTAGGCACTAGAAAAATGGGTAGTTTGAAAAACTCAAAAGATAGTTGACTCCAAAAAACACTTTTGTTTTATGTAGGTCTGTTACTTTGTCTTATAAGAATTGGCCATCCAATTCTGGAAAACTTTTTTTAATCACATGATGGACATGATGCTGCTGTGTTATTATAAATGTCTCAACAATATTGTATGCTTTTACAGTTGGCAATTTTTGCATGCAAAGCTGCTTAATAAATTTCCATATTTATTAAAAATTCCCGTTATCTTTTGAAGATGATTGGTTTCCATCAGATTCAGAGAATTTAGCAGCAACAGATAATTTGATGCCTTCAGCCTGTGAGAGTAATCAAATAGAAAAAAAACTTTTACCCAATATGTCCATTACAGAAATCTGAATCTTGTTCTCATTTTTCAAAATGGGTTTTCTCAAAGCAAGAAATGAGAACAATTGTTCTCAATTCCAAGTGTGTAGTTTTGTTCTGTTGCTTCTGAAATTTAGATGTAGATTGTCATATTTGCTTTGTGGATGTGTCCCTTTGTGGTTTTCCCAATTTGGCAATCCCCAACCCACTCCTACCCAATTAGGTAACATCTGCAGTGTGAGTTAGTGTAGGTTTTGCTGCTGGTTTATATATTATAGCTTGCCTTGCTAGTTTTTGTGGAATACCTTGCCTTTTGTCTATCTAATATTGATGTCTGTTTATCTGAGTGCTGGCTGATAGAGAAAACGTTGTCCCTTAGAAAACAAAAAGACTAGAACACATCCCCTTCAGCAATCAATATTACTTAATTGGGTAATGAAACCCTGCAAGCAAACAAATCAAGCTTAAATAGCACCAAAAACTCCATAATCAATTCCTTCTGTTCTGTCAACTCTTCTTTGCAAATTTATTTGCCATGGCTTCTGGCCCATTTTACTATCTTAGTAAGAGGGAGAGGCTATGCTTCCTGCCTGCTATGAAATGGCTCAAGGTTTACTTTGATTGCTAAAACATTTTACGATTTCTTTAACTCTCAGAACATAATAAAAAGGCACATCAAATGCTTAAAGTTGGCAGGCCACCAAAACATCCTTACTCAGCCAATAAAAAGCCCAACTGAGCCCTCATGATAGTGGCACAACTTACTACCTTTGAAGTCTAGTGGATTCGAATGCTAATATTTCCTTCCCTTTAGCCAAACCTGGCTCTTTGAGACAATGTCCTCTTCCAGAATTATTTTTCCCCAGTTTCCCAATCCAGTTTACAGCACAAGGTTCAGCAGATGCTGCCACTGAGCTAATAAATAGCAGGCCATGTTCACTTTCAGTTGAAAGTGAACTAGGAAAAAACTAGAAAAGTGTTCTAAGCATGTATCACACATTGCTCTAAGTCACAATCTAATTTCGATTAGATAGCATGTGAAACCAGTCAAGAGTGGCTCATTCTATACAGTATGTATATAAAAAAGGAATAGAAATAAAAAAGCATTGTTTAGTCACAATATGTTAATAACCATCAAAAGCGACTTTTACTAAAAATGAATTGCAAATTGATGGAAGGGGAATGATGGGAATGCAGGTCTCTCTATGACTTATATTAGGTTTTAAAATCTATTCCCATCTACTCATCCAATTAATAATATGGCTCTAATCCTGCTTTATATTTGGATTTTCTTATCACTTCGAATTTAGTCTTGATTATATGCTGAAAAGCTATCGCTCTCAAGTTATGTTTCCAATAATATGATAGAAAATGCCATATTTATATTTGGACAGATTACCTGGGAATATCAGAGCTGTATGCTAAACTGGGAAGCATAGTCATCCTGGAAAAAGTTAATGGCAAGTCACTTTGGTACGGTTGCCTAGGAAACTTAAATGCATATTTGCCTTTTTCTTCATGCTATAAGCTTGACTTAATCATAGCTTACTCAATTATTCAATATTCTAGGACTGAATATTCCACCAAATCATTAGCTACTCCCACTAATTGGGTTTTCATTTACATGCTTGACTAAAATGTGACAACTACCAATGTACCAAATCAGCTAGCTTTTTAGTAAAACTTACTGCAACTGTGGGACAATGCCAGAACCTTCTGAAGCAGGGGACACAAGAGTTATGGGAGTTATTTGGGCCATGGAGGGACACATCCCAGAAAAATCAGAGGATGGATGAATTGTGTTTTCATCCTTCTGTTGGGACCCTTCACTGTCCTCTGAGAAGATTCCATTGTCTTGAGGACCTTGATAGTCTTCCAGCATGTTGTTGTTGTTGTTGTTGTTGTTGTTGTTGTTGTTGTTGTTGTAATGTTCGTCATCTTGTCCAAAATCATCTGGCAGGAAGCTGAGATCTACTGAAGAGAAGTCTTTGCCTTGGTCAGGCTGAGGAGTAAACAATGTGCCCGGAATGACAGAAATAGGCAAATCTGATTCAAAGAGACTCAGGGGAGAATACATTTGAGGGCTATTTGATGGAGGATCATCCTTCAAAGACAGAGGAGCAAAAAATATTTCAGGCACCTTGACTTTATGGGTACACAAAGTCTTACAGAGAACCACTCCCTTAAAAACACCATCTTTTCCTTATGGGACTACATTGATGGCATGGTATTTAATGACTTGGCCTTGATTGTTGTAAAAAAAAACAAGAGTAAATGAAAAGTTTTTATTTAAAACGTGCAGTACTAAAACTCAAAGTCAGGCTTGCAAACCACAGGCCAAAACTCAGTGAACCACCTCTGGTTTTCGATATGTGGAGAAATTTTACCAATATGTGCAATAGCAAATTTTCATGCTTAATTATAAGACTAATAAACAGCTTTATGCCTTTACTTAGGATGGAAAAGGCATTGTTTTTAAAAACAGATACTGTTTTTACAGTACTGTTTTTCTCCCTTGAATAATCTCTCTACAATATTATAATTCTAAACACATTTATTAGGAAGCAAATTCCATGAATTTCCTAATTTTTACATGTAGGCAAATGGGCTGAGCAAACTAAGTTATTTATTTATTCCATGAACTCAGAAGAGATCAGTGTTATTTTTAAAGTACCCTGCTAGAGAAATTTCTTATTTATTCTTATTAGGCATTCTTGACAACCTTAGGTTGTGATTTTAAAAAATCAGAATACTGGTAGTACTTTTTCTAATACTTCTTAAAAGGCATAAGATTTTGTGAGTTGCTGCTTATTTCATCAGTTGTAGGGTCTGGTTATTCATAGCCATTCTCTACATCTAATCAAGCGGACAGCAGCTCATGAAATTGCATGTCTTTTAATCAAAAGTGTTAGAAAAATCACTACCAAACCCTTTCTCATTTCTCGTCACCATAGACCAACACAACTCCGTCTACAGTGATATGGAAACCACAATATATGGTTTAGCAAATTATGTGCTTTAAATCAATTCTGAGCTTTTGGGAAAAGCATTTTATGGCTTAGTGCACTATGTAAATCTGACAATCAATTCTGAGCTTTTAAATAGTCTTAGGAAAAGCAATTTATGGCTTAGTGCACTGTGTAAATCTGACAATTGGCTCTAAATAAATAAAACTTGTTTACCTTTGAGGAAGAAAATTTCCTCAAAATCTATTATTCAAGAAAGGGGTCAACTAGGAAGTTCCCTTAGTGGTTTGGGTCAACACTTTATTTTTGTTTGGCTAAAACTCATGAACTGTCTCAGAAACTATGGTGCCAAGTGGAACAATGGGAAATAATGATTCAGCAAAACCCCAATTTAAATCTTCCATCTTGATGTTAATTTAATAGACAATCCACCACCCCTCAATGCAGAGTTTGCCATTTAGTAATACTTATCCAGAATTACCTTACTACAACACATATATACAAATAGAATAAATAAGATAAAATAGGCACATTGTCCTTACAGGCTGCCTGCCAGTACAGGCAATCCTCGACTTACAACCACAATTGAGTCCAAAATATCTGTTTTGAGTTTTGCCCCATTTTATGACTTTTCTTGCCACAGTGACTGAGTGAATCACTGTACTTAATCTGGTTAAGTAAATCTGGCTTCCCTATTGACTTTGCTTGTGAGAAGATGGCAAACGGTGATCCCATGACCCTGGGACGCAGCATAAGTCATAAATATGAACCCGTTTTCAAGCATTTGAATTTTGATCACATGACCATGGGAAATGCTGCAAATGTAACTATGAGAAATGATCACAAGCCACATATTTCAGTGCCATTGTAACTTTGAATGATTACTAAATGAACTAAGTCCAGGATTACCTGTATAATAGGCTGAGAATGTCACACAGATATTTGCTAAATTTATTCAAGCAGAATATTTGCACCTTCAGAATAAGAAACAAACAAGTATTACCAATCAAATGTAATGATTTCTTTTAGGCAAACTGAACCCTTTTGCTATTAGTTTTATATAGCATTTTTATTGGTTTTATATACCATTTTGGTATTATTGGCAAGATAACTAACTGCAAGGAGATATATATGTACAGTTAATGTGTAACTCTGGAATTTACTGGCTATAGAAAAATATGCAATTCTCTTCAAACAATAACTGACTACATTAGAGAAAGGTGTAAGTTCATACAACACCACTTATACATAATTGATTTTTATGGCTTCACAAAATATACTAAATTAGTAATATACATTTAGGATTAGCACAACAAAATACATTAAAATGTGATCAACCAGTTCCCCATTCACAAGCACAAAAAGATACACCAGTCACCCTTACACTAACCTAAACTAACAACCTTGACTTTACCTGGCTTAAACACTCATCTAGGTAGCTTTCCAATGAGAATTCCCCATCCATGGATGGCTTCTAATAGTACTGAGTAAATTAACAAGAAATTCAATCCTGCTGTTTCTTGTTCAGTCACCAAGTTAAAACCCTTTTAGAGTAGAGAGAAGTTAAAAATTGCTAGTCTAAAAGAAAGTCAACTGCAGCCATTATCTTTCTACCTTTAAGCCTGAACTACTCCAATCAGCTGAATGAAGTATGGACCTCTTTATCTGAGAAGAGAATCAAGCGTCCTTTCATTAAAATTGAGGCATTAGAATCACCTGTGTGCTGCTTCAGGAAGTCTTGCGGATCCCTTAAGCAAGTAGGCAGTATTTTATTGGTCAAGAGTTGCATTTAATGTTGTAAATTTAAGTTATCCAACAGGAGTATTAAGAGTTTATTGACTGTTTCTTTGTTTTATTGACAATTAAGATGATGCTGTAGAATAGATAGCAGTTTTTGTCTTTTTTTCTACCTCAAAAATCTTAACTCCAGTTTCTGGCAACTCTAGCCAATAGTGGCTTGTGGGCTACAAGAAAGGAGTTATTTGTAGGCCTCCATGCAGCCTTAAGGACTCAAGTTGCTGAGTCCTGCTTTGAATGAATGAAGACATTAATTCTGTAGGATTTTTCCAGGAAAAGAAATTGATATATTTGTCCAACAGGTTGACTATAATTAACTGAATCAGGATTTTGAGTATGTATGATACAACGTTGCTTAGAGTAACTACACAACACACTAAACTAAATTTTAATTGGCAACTTGTGGGTCAGTACCTGTGAAAACACAAACCCTGAGCACTGATCTATTTTCAAAGTGTGATTTGGATCACGTAGAACCTGTCAGGAAAACCTTTAACCAGGGTTTCCAGGAACACACTGTAGGGGAGGTACAGACTGACTCTAGGGAGGTGTAAAGAATCTTTTAGCTACAATATAATAAATCTACCTTTCCCAAAGTTTCACTGTATTTTCATTGTTAATTTGTATTCATTTGGTGTTTGGTTATGGATAACACCGAACTGAAATGGTACTATGGTAGATGTGCAGATGCCCTCTATAAGTGGGGCAAAATACCATCACCAAATTTGGTGTGTGTGTGAGAAAAAACAATCCAATATAGAGTGACAGAGTGCCAAAACAGAATCTATAATGGAGACTTTGATTTCCTGGTTATGACAAATGAAGCAAAAATTAAATCTGTAATCTAGACATATGTTTATAACTCACATTTTATAATTCACATTTTGTATTTTTATCTTTTGTGTTTTAGTGAATGTGATGTGAATGTGATACACATATATACATGCGTATTTGGATTTTTGGGGAAATTTTATACATTAAGATGACACTAAAGGGAGGTGTGACTGCAAAAAGTTTAGGAGTCTTAAACCAAATGCACCTTTTGCTGGGATTGTGCGGTTTAGCATTATGAACCCAACCAATTGTCCTTTGTTTAACAAACATTAGCCTAGTGCTATCGGACTACTCTGCCTTCAGTCACTCTGTGACACCGAATGGCTTTTGAAATGAGGGGATTCTGTGGTTACTGGGTCTTGCCAAAACATGACCTTCTTGAGCAGGGGTCCCCAAACTTGGCAACTTTAAGACTTGTGGACTTCAACTCCCAGAATTCTCTAGCCAGCCAGAATTCTGGGAGTTGAAGTCCACAAGTCTTAAAGTTGCCAAGTTTGGAGACCTCTGTTCTAGAAACAGGGCAAGAAATGTTGGTAAATCAAGTGAGGAGTGGGGTTGTACTTCCTTCTGCGTTGGGATCACTAGGAGAGGGAACAGCATTGTCAATGTGCATGGCTGGGTGTGCCTTGTGCCTGCCGATTACCACGTATACCACATATATGAGAATTCTCTAAAAATGTATTGCTTTAAAAATTAACTGTTAGTAAGCTTAAATATTAGAATTCTCTAAAAATGTACCAGTTATGCCATTTTCAGCTTCTTCTAACATAGAAAATAGGATCAAGTCAATTGGAAATACTTGAAATAGATGTCCAGGCCAACAAGACTTTTCACAGAAAAAGTCAAGGCAAGAAAGAATTTACATCTACACACCACATTAAGCTATAAAGTGATTTAAGTTTGCATTAGTTAAGTTGTATAATGGTAGCCACTATTTGTCAATCATAATTTGTCAAATCAACCCTCTGCGTTACAGGGCTAGATGTGTAATTCTTTCAAATTGTGGCTTATCGCAAGATATGAATCCAATGCTTGCATGCTATATTATTTCCCATAATCATGGTTTGACACAGGTATAGATCAGGATAACAAAGGTTATAGACTTGTTTCCTTGTGCTAAGAATGTGGTCTTTTTCTTTTTACATAGCTTTACTTCCTTCTCCTATTATGGAAAAAAATGTGAGAAGGAAACTGTCTTTATTTGTGAAGGTGATTCAATGTGAATTCTTCCCAGTTTTGTTGAATACAGGTAGTCCTCAACTTACAACAGTTTGTTTACTGACCATTCGAAGTTACAACAGTGCTGGGAAAAATGACTTATGACAATTTTTCATATTTACAAGCATTGTAGCATCCCCACGGTCACATAATCAAGATTCAGGTGTTTGGCAACTGACTCATATTTATGACAGCTGCAGTATCCTGGGGTCGTGAGATCCCCTTTTGTGACCTTCTGACAAGCAAAGACAATGGGGAAACCAGATTCACTTAACAACCATGTTACTAACTTAACTGCAATGATTCACTTAACAACTATGGCAAGGTCATAAAATGGGGCAAAACTCACTTAAGGAATGCCTCACTTATCAACAGTTGGAATCAACTGTAGTCATAAGTTGAGGGCTACCTGTAATTTTCTTGGCAACAAAAGATACGTAGTTTGACATTGCCTTTACTGATTTTACTGTACTTATAGTACAGTATTTCGATCTCAAGAAGAAATTATGGTATTATATGCCATCTTTCAAGTCCACCCCCCCAAACAAAAGGTAGTGTCTGTTACATTTAAAGTTGATTAAGAAACAACAATAAATTCTACAAAATGTTGCTTGAAACAAATTTTATTCATCTTGACCCCACCCCCCCAAAAAAGGATAGCAGAACCAGAGGGAAGTAATAAGAAAAACGATTCCGTAGGCCTAGAACTCTACAGTGAAAGCAGAGATACAACCATATTTTGCAGACACATTGATTTGGGACACTTTAATATTTTTTTTAAATTTGACAGGCCATATCATTTCTACATGAGAATATCATAATGAAATGTGTTGGGGGATTTGCCCTTTCATAGGAAAATCAACATAACCCAAGCCATCGATGGTTCTAGTTCCAAGTAGGTTAAAAAGGAGATGGAGATTTCTGAAAATGAGGGATTTTCCTAAATGTTTTGGAGGCAAGATGGTGTGAAAAATTGCTGGGCTGAAGAAAAGGAAAGAATGTTTTAACTAAAATAAATTAAAGCAGCTGAAATTAAAAGCGTTAGACAATTTGCATTGATTGGTTACACGTGAACATATGAATAACTTTAAGCACTCTGACTCCATTGTAAGTAAAAGTTTATATTATGATTGGCTTTTCATAAGGGGTAGTTCCTCCCTCTTTTTTCAGGTACAGGGAACAAACACCAACACCCAGATGTCAGTGAACATTTATTCCCAGAAGCCCCAGACAACATTGAGGGATACTAGGAATTGTGGCTCTCCTAATGTTGTATACTACAAATTCTAATTTATATTTGGTGTTGATAATAATCAAGACAGCCCTTACTTACCATTCCTTACCTTAACAAAAGCAAAGGTCAGGATTGTTCACTAAATTCCCAAGAAAACTCTCAAACTGTTACAGACATTTTAAACATATTTAAATAGGCAACAAATTTCAAATTAAATACAGCATTACACTTGGTGGAAGAACTTGTATGTGCAGCATCAGATGCCAAGCAAGTAAGCTTTTAAAAAGGTATCTACAGTATATACTTTAAATAACAGTAAAGGCTTGAGCATTTATGTTGATGTTCCTTGGATATATATAAACAAACATCACTGAGACATCATCCTAAGCCAATGTAACTGACAGAAAGGAACATAATCAGCCAAAATTGTGGCCAGTACCCCAGAATTTAACTTGCAGATTTATCCAATGTTCCACTGAACTCCATTACAGTCCAACTTCAGGCAGATAAGGGAAGAAGGCAGTGCCACAGTGTGAACACAACTGTTATTTCTCTGTAGAGAAAGCCCTTTTCATCAATGGTGGAGGTGTTTTTCCTACATCAAACATCATTTCCAAAGGAGGGTTATTGAGGCAGCACCAATCAGGGATGCGTCCTGTCTGGTTGTAATATTCCTTTGATACTGAACGACTGCCAAGAATGTCCTGAAGGGCTCCGAAAATGGCTCCTGTAATACAGAATAAGACACAAGGGTTTAAAACATAGAGAAGCAAATAAAACGGTAGCAAGAGGGAAAAGTGCAATCAAAGCTTTATTTTTGTGTATTTCTATTAGCCCAAGTAAAATCTTAATGTTTTTCCCAAGTCAACCTTGACTGAGAATTTTTCATCTCATTCAAATGATAATCAAATCCTACAATTGAGATTCCGAGAAGCTAAATACAAACCAGAAATTAAACAGGGCTATAAAAAAATATATCAAAACCAAATATTTTGACAATCTCAGGAACCTGTTCCTTCCCCCTGGCCCTAGTTCTATACTTCCTCAAGCCCTTTGGGGAAAAGGATTGAGGAAAAGATTCTAAGACGTATAAAATATATTGCACATCAAAGCCCTTGCACTCAAGTTTTCCAATCTCTCCTAGGAGTGGCATTGCAAAAGTTGTATACTGTATGCAGGCCTACATAATTTCCACTCTGGTTCCCAGCCTTTTCAGACTAACCTCCTAACCATGCCACACAATTTGGCTTGGCTGGTGGCACATGTACTCGGAAGGTCTTTGAGGCCAGAATCTCCTTGTACTTTGGCTTCTCCACCAGGTACCGTATTTCGGCCATTAATCGGTGCAGGAATCCTGGTAACATAGCTGTACCCCCAATTAT